GCTGCTTGGAGAAACACCTGCTGTACATTTCTGGAAACATGCTCCGTGTAGTTTATAAATGGTATTTATTTCTTATTCATAGTGTTTCATATCAAATCAGGAAGTGCGTGTACTGTGAGACAGGAAATAGAGGCCTTTGCTTGTGCATTTCTACAGGAAGTGTGACGTCACCGTTTAAAAGTCCCAAACTAAACCTGTCCCGGTTTCCCTCGCAAATGTGATTCGTCTCAGTGTCGCCGCTCGACTGAAACCAATGCTTGGTCAAAGTAATAGAAATGTGTCTTCAAGGAAAAAATCATCTCTGTTGGACAAGAGAGCATTTTATATCATTCTCTCGCAGGCCTGTTTCACAACTTACACAGAAGCAGCAAGTGAGTAACGCTGCTACATTTCATATTTCTGCTAACAAGGGCCATAAATTGAGCATTTTGAGTGAGCAATTACAATGAAATGTAATTTGCATGGGGAGGCAGAGCACATTTACATAAAGAAGCCAAAGCACGTACTGTAGCTTTAAACTGCTGCAATCATCAGGATTCAGTGAAATAAAGACGGTGTGAAACAGGCTTTCTTTGTTGTTTAATATTTTGCAAGATTGGTAGAATTTTGGTAGATTTATGTAGTGATAAAATGATTAACATTAAAGCCACACATGGATCCATTAACATTATGAGTGTCACCACGGACATGAATAATTCAGAGTCTGAGGAGGTTAATGAGGGTCTCATTTCATAATTATGACACAAATCGAACACAGCATAAGCTACAGTGTATAGAAGCCCAATTTCGCTATAAAAGAAAAAAATACATTCTTGAAAAAAATACATTTATGACAAAAAGTCGAAATTAAAAGTCAAAGTTGACATGTCAAAGTATTACAAAAAGTCGAGATGCTTGAGATACTAGGTTATTATGATCATAATAAAGTCGAAATTATTACAAAGCCAATTATGAGATAACGTCAAAATTATGACTTAAAAAATGTCATAATTTCAGTCAATCTTTACTTTTTATCATAATTTCGACTTATTTTCATAATTATGACTTTTTATCTCATAATTTTGACGTTTTGTCATTATGACTCTCATACTTTAGACTTAGTATGTCATCATTCAAAACATTTGTCGTAGTTCGACTGTCTCATAATTTTGGCTATTTGTCATAGCTATGTCTATTTAGACTTAGTATTTCACAATTTTTGTCATAATTCAACTATATCATAATTTCAACTTTTTGTCATAATTATGACTTTCTATCTCATACTTTAGACTGTCAATTTAGAATCATAATTTCGTCTTTTTTTAGTTTTTAACTCAAATTTGACTTGATAATGACCTCTTATCTCATAATTTTTCCCTTTTTATGTCATAATTTCAACTTTTTGTCATATCATGATTATGACTTTTATGAATTTTTAAATAATTGATTTTTTTTTTATGATTTTTTTTTTTCATTTGACGGAAATGGCCTTCCACAGATGGTCACTTGGACCTCCAGAGATGATTTTTCTATGATGTGAGACATTAAGGCTGCAATATAAATAGGGCTTGATTTTTATTCTTTTAAAACACATGAAACAGCTATGTTGTTGCTACATCACTGACAGCGATATAAGACTGTTTCTGTGATTGTCCGAGACTCAAGCTTCAGTGAGTCTCAGTGATGTTGAGAATGAAAGGCTCTTGTAATGTCAGTCATGAGAGGGACGTTTGCTCGTCTTCAGAGGTGTTTATCCCTGATTTAACATGGACACACTGGAGTCAAATGCAGACTACTGTAAGCTTGAACTTGCCTGTTTCTGAACAAAACTCAATGATAATTCAACAGCAAACTTGATCCTTTGAAAAAAAAAATGTTACAACTGGAAATATTTCAGTGTAAGATTGCGCTTGTTCTCTGTGTTTGTGAATATGTACTGAATACTCTTCCTGCTGGGCAGCATGTGCAAACACCTGTGTGTGTGATAAAGACTGATTAAAGAAGGGATTCAGCAGAAAAAGCCTGTTTGGGTCTGTTATTGTAATATATGTCCACATTTAAAGCACACTGACCATCAGTTTTGAAGTGCATCTTATGCAATTTCATTCCCTGCACAATCTTGTTTGGTTTCTGCTTTTTGTGCTGTGCTTTGTATATGAAGTCGACACTGGTGGTTTTAAAGGGTGGAAGAACATTTTATTCTTTTAAAAGTCGTCTGCATGCTCCAAAGCTGTTGCAATGTTGTTTTAAATTTGTAATATTTCAGAGCAAATTCATTTCATACTGTTCTCTTCCAGAACTGGATATTTGTATTTATTATACTGCATTTGACTGATTTTGACAGTAATTAACACAGTCGTTCTCATTCAAGTCCTTGAACTGCAAAATGTAGGGAGACATTTGCGAATGCTTCTTGTAATATTTGTTAAATGTTACTAGAAACTAATGTGCACCTGCTTAATAAAAGCAATAATTCTCCGGTTCCAAGGACCATGCAGATGTTTTCTAATATTTGAGTGAATTTTGAGTAAATATTGAGTAACAAAATGTATTAATCCCAGTTGCTATAATGACTCTACATCATTTCACATACAGTATACTGTTATGTATAGTATAGTATAGCATTCCCATTAAGTTATGAAAACGTTATTGAACATTCTCTGAATGTTCAAAATGTCAATTTTTAAAAAATATCAACAAAAAAAAAAATCTTGTTTATGCAAATGTTAAAGAGAACATAAAATGTTATCATTTTAAACACATTAGGAGAATGCTACTTTTAAAAATGCTCTGAACATTCTAAATCAAGTATGTTATTTGTACTTGAAAGTTCTAAGAAATGTTTTTTTTTTTTAAATCTTTAAATAACGTTCTAATCACAACAAGAAAACTGGACTTTTAACGTTCTTAGAATATTACAAATAAATGTTCAAATAATGTCGTTTTTTGGGTAAACAAAGTTAGTAGAATGTTGTAAGAAACGTTTTTGTAACCTAAGTACACTACTTGTTTTTGAAATATTTCAAATTATGTTCCCACAACATTCTTATAAGCTACATTTGTCACTGGGTTATCGGCCCGTATCGGTGGAGCACCAGAGGAACGTCACACGAATCACACGTTTCGTTTGCAAATGCTGCCCATCTGCAGAGATGTGTTGCCCAAATGTTAAAGGAATACTGTCCATTTTGATGCTCTATAGATGGTTTTGCATATATTTTTTGCACTATATGTATATCATGGACGCATGGACTCTTAAATATATTTTGAAGTGATGGCCTATTTATCGCCTATTTAGCAGTCATAGACAATGTACTGTGTACTGTTTTTTCTTTTGTATATCTGAACGGTCCTTAACTCAGTTCAGTGTTTATTACGAGCAGTTGACCTGTGAAAGCTGTGTTTGAGCGTTCATGCTCGCACTACTCTACGTTTGTACATGTAGGATAAGAGAAATGTGTGTTTTTGTTCACATTATCTGACACGATGCCATTCAGAACGTCTGGAAGGAGGGCTGATTCTTTGAATAAACCAAGGCTGACAAATTCGCTTTCCTGGCAGGAGTGAGATTTTGATGGGGTGAATCATAGGGCTATGAGATGTATTACGTGTTCAGTCTATAGGTATGTGCATGCACTTAGTGCCCACTGCTCTGTGTGTGTACATGTATTTCTACACTGGTGGGGACTTAAACCTGAATGCACACCAACTCATGGGGACTTGTGTCAATATTTTACACCATGGGTACAAAAGCTTATAAATCATACAGAATGAGTTTTTTGAGAAAGTAAAAATGCAGAAAGTTTTCTGTAAGGGGTAGGTTTAGGGGTAGGGTTGGTGTAGGGCGATAGAAAATACAGTTTGTACAGTATAAAAACCATTACACCTATGGGGAGTCCCCAAAAGGATAGTGAACCAGACTCTGTGTGTGTGTGTGTGTGTGTGTGTGTGTGTGTGTTCACTACTCACTGCTGTGTGTGTGCACTTGGATGGTTTAAAATGCAGAGCACAAATTCCGAGTATGGGACACCACACTTGGCTACACGTCACATCACTTTCACATTCACATTACGTTGTATGTGGGCTGCGCCTCTTGAATCGATGCATTAATGCAATAGAGCACACGGTGGGAGTGTTCTATTATAGCAAGAGATCCATGGTGGTCATATTCTGTTTTTTGAGCAATGAGCAGAAAATTAGCATTCAATAGTTCTCTTAAAATGATGGCAAATGTTGCTTTTTTCCCCCAAATATATTTTGAAATATACAACAAAAAAACTAAAAATATAGAAATACTGTATATATTTTCTACCAATATATTTTTATTTTAAAAAATACTTTTGGATCTATATGTAAAAATATTTTTAAAAAATTACGTTTTCAGATATCTCAGAAGAACCTAAAAAAATTAAATAATTATATATATATATATATACAGTGGGGGAAATACTGTAAGTAATCAACACGTCAACATTTTTTAAATTAAAACACAGTTATGATGCAGCAATTTGCATAAAGTTTTGAACAGACATTGGCATTAACTCAAGAAATATAAATATTTTTTCCTGTGTCATTTCACTTCAGTACACAACTTTTTTATGGGTTGTAATAATGTATTTTTATCTGAGTTAATGCCAATATCAGGTCAAATTTTCATGCAAATTGCTGCATTGCAACTGTACACTTGCTAGAACAAAAGTCTGAAATGTGAACTCGCAATTGCCTGTTTAATTTTGTATTCCATTATGGAAACAATCTTCCATAATTGTTTGACTGTCAACTCGCATTCAGCTTAGTGATGGAAATGGTCAATTAGAATTTACAGTACATGCATGATACATGAAATGCCTTTAATTTAGGGAAGGAATATAATAACTGAGAATGAGACTCACGTGTGTATGCTGGGATTACAACCACTTCTCCTGACAGGTTGTTGTTCTTTGTTAGCGCTGCCACACACAGACAAAACTTGCTGCCGTCTGATATATAAGTCTCTTTGATAAATGTTTCTGTTCCATCCATTGTTTTGCAGTCTGTAATATTGAATTTTGCTGTCGTACTGCTGCTGTTTGTGGTAATGTTGTCGTTTGTTGTAATGCTGCTGTCTGATATGATGTTGCAGTAAGTGCAACTGTGGCTGTGTTTGACTTCTTTAAGACAATAGCGGTAAGCTGAATGATTGCCAGTAGGCGGATCCCAAAAGGCCATTATGACTGTGCTGTCATTGTCTGCTGATCTTAGGTTTCTGACAGTTGAAGGTACTGAAAAGTAAATACCAACAAAAGCAGTTAGTCTATCAAAAACATTCAAAATTAGTTGTGGTCACAGGAATGCTTGTTACTTTGACAATAGCTATGTTTCCATCCACCTGTTTTAGCCTGTTTTTTTTAATCTGAGGTTATTTATTTATCCAAGTTGTGCATAAATTCTTTTAAAAAAAATGCATTTTATCCGACAAGACGACATGCGTATAAGCTACAATGAAAACACATTTACTGAATAAATCCCTTGATGCGCAACGGAGGATGTGATTGGATAACTGGACTAACCAGCGGACCTGTCGCATCACACAGCATCTCAGATGTTGGTTGCCAAAATCAGTTTATTGCATTTCATCAGCGCACTCTCACAGCCACAAGATATTTATGATGCATGAAAGAGTGGCTTCCCCTAATGCTATTCCTGATACATGTGTTTTGCGCCAATTTTATTCTCTTCAACTAGGGTTAGGCTATTATCATTAACGGAAATCTGAAACGGAAAACTTAAAAAAAAAAAAAAAATCTGTTAATTAAAAAAAAAATAATAATAAAATATTAATATTAATTGAAAAACTTACACAAAATAAAAATGTAAATGTTGCCTTGGCAATAAAATGAAAAAAAGTTAAAGATGAAGCACTGAAATTATTAACTGGAAAAAAAATTTAAACTAAAACTACCTAAAACTGAAATAAAATAAATTAAAACGAATAAAATGACAATAGCACATAGCAAAATTACTAATCTGTAATTATAAATACTAAAAATATAAAAATAAAATCTTATTCAAAATATTAATAAAACTATAATAAATGCTAAAATAACATTGAACATATGAGATGGAGATGGTGCTTTATGAGCAATTGTTTTAATGCGATATTTCAGTTTTGTACATGAGTTAAATTGTAAACTTAACTTATGTACTTATGTAGGTACCCCCCCACCTTGTTTCCTGTTGATATATACTGTCCTATCCTGATAAAAATAAAAATGCCTAAAATAAATCTTTAAAAAAAATGGCAAAGCAAAATTAAACTGGAATTAACCTAAAAATAAAAAATAAAAGCTCATTTATCAATATAGCTATACTAAAACTCAAATATGATTAAAACTAAGAAACGATGCTTTATTTGGAAATGTTTACAGCTTTGGATGGATGGATAGAGTCAAGCATGAAACTGTCTGCACTTACTGGTGTAATCAGTAACGTTGCATGGCACACCTTCAATCGTCTTATTCACTACAGCTTTAACTGTGAATTTATACTCGGTTCCTGGAATAAGATCCGTAATAGTGCACTCTTCAGTATCACACTTTTGTTCCACAGTTTTCAATGCATTTATGAACGTTACTGAGTAGAAGTCACGGTTTCCAGCTGGTTTACTCCACTTGAGGTTGGCGCTAACAGATGTCACACTCACCACTGTCAGATTTTGCACATCAGAGGGCACTAAAAAAGGGACGGCATGGGTCATTAGTCGTGTTGAAACCATGTTGCGCACAATGAAGTCCGAGTCTACTTACGGGTGTAGAAGGAGATATTCTGCGGATTGAGATCCCTGCCACATTTCACAGGAAACACCTGAACTCTGTACAGAGTACCTGCTGTCAGATTCTGTATCTGTTCGAACAGGTCAGTCTGGTTAAATGTCTGGTTTTTGTCCCCAGTGACCTCCACTCTGTAGTGACTGATGTTCTCAGCACCGGGTCCCTCAGACCAGCTCAGATTGCCTGTGCTTGTGTTCACATCGGAAATGTATATCTGGCCAAAAAAGCGCTCTATGGACAGATAGATGCAATGACGTATATCGGCAGAAACGTACAAGTTGATTACACTCTTAAAAATAAAGGTTCAAAAAGGAGGTTTGATTTTGGGTTCCTCAAAGAACCATTCAGTGAACAGTTCTTAAAAGAGCAATTGTGACCATGGACCACAAAACCAGTTATAAGGGTCAATTTTACAAAATTGAGATCTGTACATCATCATCATATATAATTACCAGAATAGGCCCATTTTCTTGCCAAAAAAAAAAGGTACATGAAATCAGACATGAAAAATCGAGATCGGTGCGTCCCTAAATATAAGAATGTTTGAAATAAAGAAATTAAGTATTGTTATTTTTTTCAATGTAATAGTTATTTTTATTCAATACTCATATAATACTTTTTACATTTTACATTTCAATAGCATTATTGCAATACATTTCTTATGGTTTAATATTTTTTTAATAATCACATTAAAAATATTTATAATAATCATAGTCATGTTTCATTATTTTTGTTCACTTTATACATTTTTTCAAGTTTTTCCCATATTCCAAAACTACTTGAAAAACTGCTGTTCAAGTAATTTGTTAAAAAAAATTTTTTATATCGCAGTAAACAAAATATCACATTTACTAGGTACCTTTGGAAGATACTAGTAAAGTTCTTTAATTTAAATAGCTAGGTACCTGAGTTATTGTCTTTTTTTTGTGCAATTATCTTATTTATATTTTATGTATAATTAATTTCGTCATAAAGCTGTCATAAAAAATGTCTTAAATGATTGAATAATGTATTGAAAAAAATGAATTTTTTCTGCTGATTATGTTTATGAGCTGATTAATTCAGAATATTTTAGTTAATTAAAATAAAAAATGAATTAAAACTAAATTAATTAATTAAAACTTTATTTAATTATTATATGAAACGCCTGATAGAACTCTTTAAGGTTCCACACAGAACCTTTTCTTCTGACTCAAAAATAAAGGTTCTTTTTGCTATTAATGGTTCCATGAAGAAGCGTTTACATCCACGGAAACTTTCACCAAGGTTTGGATTCTTAAAATGTTCTTAAACTTTAAAAATGTTTCTGTTCACTGAAAGCTTTTTTATCACAAGAAAAAAATGCAAATGAAGCATATCATCATTTCTGATTTATATTTTTGTTATACATTATTTGTTATATAAATATATATATATATATATATATATAAATATTTAGTTTTTTTATTGTTATATTAATATTTTTGTTTGTTTTATTTGTTATTTTAAATGTAAATTTTTTTTAAATTTTATTTAAAAATATTTAAAACATAAAAACATTTTTTATTATTCTTTATTAATTTTAATTCATCATTTAAAAACTATTTAAAAATTTAAATTTAAGACATTTGAATATAACAGAGTTGGACATAATGCAACATTTACTTATGGCCCACAGCCCTCAACCAAGTTTGATTTTTGGCATTGCTATGAAAACCTCCTTTTGGAACCTTTCTTTTTAAGATTGTCAGAGTACCAACAATATGAATCTAACAATACGATGCTGTGCTCTAAAACAAAGTCTTTGTACCTTCATAACAGATGAAGGGTAAACTTCTGTTGCAGTCGTCTTCCTTCCACATGCCGAAGCTGAGCAGGACCACACAAGAGTCCTCGATGTACTGTTCAGGATCTGGCTCGGGTTCGAAGACGCAGTTGCTGGTGGTGGTGCTCTCGGTTGTGGTGCCATTTGTTCCAGCATTAAAGGTGGTGCTAAATGTTGTGACTTTAGGGGTGGTGCTGTATGTTGTAGTATTTGGGGTAACAGTCAGTGTTCTCTTACACATATCCATGGCACTTTCAAGATCATCACATGTCATATTTAAGCAAATAAGCATTTCGGACAGTATAGGGCATGTGTCGTTTTCTTTGTTCGTTTTAAATGTTGAGGTTACCGAAGCAGTTACTGTGGAGGTTTGTGTTGAGGTCATTGGGGTAGTTATTAGGGTGCTCAGTGGACTTTGTGTAGTTGAGGAACATATAGGAATTAGTTTATTTTCTTTATTTGGAACTGGATGACCAGGGTACCAATTCTGATATGTAACAGGATCCCCATTGGACCATGCGGCCCATGGGAAGGAGCCATTGTAATGCCTGCGGAGTCCAACCCAATTGTCCGAAGAGAAGTTCTGCACAATGAGGTGGACGTTTCTGCTGGTGATGGTCGTCAGTTCTTTGAAACAGGACTGACAGTAGAGTCTGGCCTCGTCCCATGTGGCATTGGGTGACTGAGGAAAATACTGCTCCTCTGCCCAAATGACTGAGCCTGAATGTAATAATTTGAGAAAAGAAACAAGTTGTCGTTATTAAAAATAATACATTCTGGTGCTCCTCATTTAGGGGTCACACTCATACTCATACTATATATATATCTTCTCGATCCAATTGCGATGACAGGGTGGCCTACCTCCCTGTCAGTCTACATATTTACATACCTCTGCACAGACAATAGCGATAGTTTGGGGGCGTGGCTACTGTAGCAGGCGGAGCCAGAGGGTGTTTTTGTCCAGTGGGGAAAAAGAAATTCAGATTCTGTTACAGAAGTGCAAGCCAAAATTCGAAGACTTGCCAAAATACACAGAGACAGACAACGGCGTAATACAAGGGCAAACATATACAGAGTTCTGGCATGAAAGTCTAGATGGCGCAGTCCGATAGGTCTAACTCAATCTGACCTAATGACATCCTTATCACATGGCACAGCTGATTGCTTTTCTCCTGTATCAGTAGCCAATGAGCTCACTTCTCAGTATTCAAATACCTGGCTTTTGTTTGCTGTAGCAGTTCGCAGCACACTTCAAAACCCTCCACCTTCCCCAGCTCCACCTGTACAGATCTGCTACGAGGTGATTCATGTATGCTATGGGGGTTATTCATATGTGTTATATGTGCAGTATTTCCTACATGCTCACAGCAGCATTTTGTGGATGTATTGGCAGTAGCAAGTCTCGGTACTTGCTCTGCCGCAGCAGCAGCAGCAGCGTAGCAGATCTATTCCGCCAAGACCAAATACATTAACATTGTCATGTACATTACCATGCCCTCTCCCTCCGAGAGTTGTCATGACAGAAAAGCAGTGTTTTTACAAGATGGAAGAATTTGATTTAATGTTTAGGTTTCAGTCGATACGACAAACTTGCGGAGTTTCTTCTTGACAGGTAAGCTAAACTTCAAGGTAAAAGTAGAAATGGCTGCTTTTGAAACAATGCTTCATGAAGCTACGAACATTTACGAATCTTTTGTTTCGAATCAGTGGTTCGGAGCGCGTATCAAACTGCCAAAGTCACATGATTTCACTAATGAGGCTTCGTTAAATCATAACCGTTTTGAAATTTCAGTGGTTCACCACTGGGGGCGATGATCTCTGTGATCCCCCACCATTGAACAAGCGTCTAGTTATTACCTGATCTCGGATCAGTTTTACAAATTTGTAGATGTTTTAATGAAACATTTGTATAATTAAAAGGAATAATAGTATTTAATAGTCTCTTATTTTTCTGTTTAACTGAGCCATCAACAGAACAAAGACAACAAACCCTGAAAAAGAGCACATATAATATAAACACTTAATATTTCAGAGCATTAGATTATTTGTTAATTGCAAAATAACACATTATACTTTCAATGAAACATTTGCAATGGGTTTGTAAAAGCTGTTTTATGCATGTTTGGCCTGAGTTTTCGTTGCATTTACACTGTTTGACCAGCAGTACACAATGTGTGGTGTTTCAGATGCTTCGAAACAGTGAATCATTTTGCGACACAATTAGTTCAATTGATTCGAAGCTTTGAAAAGCTTAATTTCTCCCATCATTAGTTAAACGTATTCTTAATATGTTGGACCTTTTATAGAAAGTAGTTTAATTTTGACTGTTGAGACATGCTTTCACATTTACGGACCTGAAAGAGTCTGTAATGTTTGAGTTGGGGAAGCGATTTATTGATACATGTGTTTTGCGCCATTACTGATATAATTCTTTAGGGTCTTAATTAAAAGTCCATAAAATACTTTGGTTAAAATTTCTCAATGGTAGTGCACCTTTTTAAACCTGTCAAAATCAGCTCTGTTTTCAGTACGCGGTTCTAGTCCATGTTGATTTAAATGCTAATGAGCTCTGCTGCCCCCGCCCCTCTCTTCCGTGCGGTGACGAGCAGACTGTGAACTTCAGCCACGAAACTGGCTAACTAGTACATTATTAGGAAAGACAATTTGCAAAGATTCATAAAAGCTTTCTGGAAGAAAGAAGCTGGAACACGAATGATTCGCACAAACATAGACGCATTTAGGCAGATCGGGGAACGTCCCATTCACTTCAAAAGCGAAAGTAACGTTAATACTCTGCGTCTTCAGCGGTTCAGATGTAGGGAGTAAATGACGACTGCTATATTCATTATTACATCCAACAACAAAGCTGTCCTCAATCGCTTAATCGGAGACATCTTGTCTTCCCCTGTTACACTGTTATACAGTAGGGGGTGCTTTTAATAGTACAGATACAGTAAAGCATCTCAGGACCCAAAAATAAGCGGATAAGAAGATCTGTGTAAACCAGAAGGAGTGGATAGAAGATTGCTTACGCACAAGTATGCTAACGTTTTGATGGACTCGATCTACTCTGTCTGTGTTCTGATCATCAGCTATGAAAGAATTGTAAAAATGAGCAAAAACTCTGGCGGGGAAAGATTTAATATTTTGTATTTTGAGGGAATTTTACATTCAAAAAAATGTATTGATGCTGTTCACTTTATTTAAATAATTCATTTTGATTTAACACCATTGTATCAGGTTTCTCGTTTAAACATGATTGCATCATGTTAAACTAGCTTGAAATAGTTGCTCTTGCTTAACTCGATGTTTTCATGTTGAAGGCACATGTTTTAATCAACCTGGTCTCGTAAAAATATGTACCTCTGGGTACTTTTCTGCAGCACCGTTTTTACGTACCTTACTGCATGTTTTGCCGCCGTTTCAAAGAGAAATGTCCACAGAGTGGTGCTAAAACACGGGTTCAATACGTGAACCCTGGCACGTTTTTATTACGTTGATATAGGTACATATTGCTGTGTTTTTATTACGTTGCTTCAGGTACGTATTGCGGCGGTTCAGAATTCAAATATCCGGGGACTGTCGCTAAAAGTTAATGATCGTCTTGAAAATAGCCCTACACCAAAACCAACCCTAAACCTACCCGATAGTGTTAACAAATGCAAAACTGATATTAAAAGGCATTTGTTGATGCAACCGCGCCATTTGAACTTCCTTATATGCAGATTTGAAGTGTTTTGTTGAACCGTACTTACACGGGATTTGAACCGGAGCTCCTTACTTCTCAAGTACGTCTAAATACTCGTGAGCTACCGAACAAACCTAACATCTATGAAAACCCATAGATATGAAACTGGATACGTGTGATGCTAACATTCAAAAGCATCAGTTTTCAAATCTCCCAGCATATTAATATTGTTTTGAAGTCATAACATGATATTCTTCAAGTAATTTTGCAAAAATTATGCTTTATTAATCGAAACTCTGTAAATTTGTGTGAAAAGGAATAAAAGGTGTTGGAGTTTTACTGCCTCTAGTGTTAATTTCTTTTGGAAACTGCAGTGATATGTACTTATTGGTACGTATTTCGTGTCTCGCTAAAAAGTGCACCCAGGTACGTTTATGCCATCAGACCAGGTAGGTTTTAATCAAGCAGCTCAATCTTCCCATCATGCTTTGCAAATTTGAATAAAGTGTTATTTTAAGCATTTTCAGCATAATGATGAAATGGGGAGACCTGGTAATGTTAATGTTATATTATGTTGGTATTTAAAATAGTTTCTGTTATGTTGTTGTTTTTGGGGATTTATCATTGTGGTGAAGCGTCGAGCATGTATTTATTTGATTGTGAGGAGTACAAGTGTGACTTTTTTTAATATATATATTTTTTGGTTCACCTAGAAAGCGTTACAAAGTGTCATACCATTACATTGACAAAAAAAAGTAATGTTACTTACATTACAAGTATGCATACCACTTTATTTGAGGAATATAAAATATTAAGAGGACGTCTTGCATGTTTCGTAAAAGTTCCAAGTAAATATATTAATTTAAAGGCATGAGTAAGCAATTGTGTGCCTGTTCCTCTTTTATTCCACACTCATATCTTTTGCATTTACATCCTCAAAAACCTTCTGGAAAAACTCCCTGGCTCACCTGAGATTTGCATAACCAAGCCTAAATGATGAGCGATATTCCATATATTTGCATTGATTTTACAGTAACATCCATAGCTAGTGAACCATTAACAGTTCTGTAAGCCTAAAATGTGCTCTAATTCAACTGTCTAATGCCAGTGTGCCAGGATAACACACGTTTATTAAAGATTTCTAGATATTTGAACGTACCTAAACCTCTGGTCCTCTTCAGTCAATTGCCCACTCATGCCTGTAAATGAATATATTTACTTGGAACTTTACGAAACATGCAAGACATCCTCTTAATATTTAATATTCCTCAAATAAAGTGGTATACATACACTACCAGCAAAATGTTTGGAAAAATTAAGATTTGTTAATGTTTTTGAAAAGTCCAAAAATACAGTAAAACAGTAATAATGTGAACTATTAATTATGATTTAAAGTAGCTGATTTCTATTGTAGTATATTTTAACATTTATTTCTGTGATGCGCAGCTGAATTTTCAGCATCATTACTCCAGTCTTCAGTGTCACATGATCTTCAGAAATCATTCTAATATGCTGATTTGCTGCTCAAGAAACATTTCTGGTTAATATCAACGTTGAAAATTATTGTGCTGCTTCATATTTTTGTGGAAACAATGATACATCTTTTTTTCAGGACTCTTTGATGAATAGAAAGTTGAAAATAACAGCATTTATTGATCAGTTTTAATGCATCCTTGCTGAATAGAAGCATTAATGTCTTTCTTTTTTTTTCTGGAATAAAAAAGTCTTACTCACCCCAAACTTTTGAATGGTAGTGTATCATGCTTTCCACAAAAGTATGAAGCATATAAACCTCTGTCAGTTTACAGACTTACTCAGGAGAAGCGGCAGCCACAGTGTATTCATCTCACATCTGCTGCTTGTTGATTCGCTGGTTGTCAATCTCAGGTCCGGTCAAGACCTTTTGGAGTAACGAAAACATCATCAAATAACAACCTGAAAGGAACCAGCAAGACAAACTAGACTCTTCAGATAAATCAGCTGAAGGTAAATACTCACTCTGCGCACAATACTCTCCTGTCCACTGATGGTGCTGATCTGATCCTGAGCTCTACAGTCTGATCTCTAACAACAACCTATTCACAGAGTGACTTTGCATAGGATCCCTCAACATTTCCATTGAGCCGGCATTTGCAAATAACTGGACAGGGCTGAAACATTTGAAAATGGTTTAGAATGTAGAATTTAGTATGCCTAATTGAGGATTAATTTTGATTTAGCTGTAATGTTTCTCATTTGAAGTCACCACGGTGGTGATCAGTGTTTAGTTGGAGTCTTGCTATTTTGTTTTTGTGTTCTTTGGGGACTGTAACAGTGTGTTTAATAAAACACAAAGGAAGCCAAGATAAAAATTAGAGCAGATGATATGGGGTATTTATTGATGGAATATAGTCAATATATAATCTATATAATCTAATCAACGTATGTATCACTGGTGTGGTGCACTATATATTGCACACACACACACACATATATATGTACAGGTGCATCTCAATAAATTTGAATGTCGTGGAAAAGATCATTTATTTCAGTAATTCAACTCAAATTGTGAAACTCGTGTATTAAATAAATTCAGTGCACACAGACTGAAGTAGTTTAAGTCTTTGGTTCTTTTAATTGTGATGATTTTGGCTCACATTTCACACAA